TGTGTGTGTGTGTGTGTGTGTGTGTGTGGTGCGCGCAACCAGAAATGGGGTGGGGGGTGGTGGGTGCTGGTGAAGCCCTCCCCTGCAGGCTCTTAGCAATCTGGGATGCTCTGGTTGGCGGCCCATCCAGCATCTGGCAACCAGTGACATCACTGATTGCCAGGAGCTGGGCAGGATGCCGGCCAGAGCATCCCAGGGTGCTAAGAGCTGTCCTAAGAGATGTGTATGACCCTTGACCAGAAAGGGGGTGGCAGACACACTGCAAACATTTTGCAGCAGAGTGGACATGCTGCTCACCCTGCCGCACCCACGTGACCCAAACTCAGGCCCTTCTCACGGTGCCCTATTTTACGGACAGCCCTGGGCATACCTCACCAATAGAATCCCAGAGAGATATAAGGAACCATCAAGTGATTCAGTGTGCCAGAAAACACTGAAACTTAGAACATTAAAGCCCAACTCCAGCCAGAAATTATTTTAGTTTTAAGTAGAGTGCGTAAAAGTCAGACCTTCCATCAATTTATTTTTTTGCTATCTGTGCTGTCACCGGGGACATTCACCCTCACTGTTCCAGTGGCACCAAGATGAGAAATGAGAGGGTGTACGTGTTCCTTGGTTAAAAAAAAATAAATGCAGAGTGTAAAAAAAAAAAAGGACAGTATTCTTACCCTTCCCTAATCAGCTACTTGGCTAGAGCTGGTCTTTAATTTTGAATGGAGTTAGCATTTATATTCCCATGTTATTTGAAGAAAAAACATTTTATACATTGCCTACAGTAATAAGCCACCATCTTTATTTGGATGTTTACTGCATCTGTTACAGCTGAACAAGGAACACAGTAGCGTAACATAGTGAATATGGCAATATAATGAGTATGTAAAAATAAATGTAGATACATTGCTGAAAAAAATCTTAAATGGTTAGTAGTAGTACACTTAGTACACTTTGAATACACTTAGTAAATACTGGGGATTTTGATGGCCTTGCAAAGTTCTGAGCTCTTTTCCCCCCAACCAGGAGACTTAATCCTCCATCCTCATTCTCTTGAAAGAAACCCTGTCATTCATTTTAACAACAATCTTCCAATCAGATGATATGTCCACTTAATGTATTTTATACATATTATTTATCTGTAAAAGCCTCCCATGTGTAGACATCCAAAAGCCCTGAGACCGCTACTGGGCGCCTCCATTTAAGATGTCATTTCAGCAGCCCCAGCACTATTATTCAAGTGACACTCTATAGTATTCCCCTTCACTCCTTCCCCCAGATGCTACAATAAAGGTTATGTAGGGAGCTGCAGAGGAGCTGGACCAGCACATATAGTAATGAAACACTCCTGGAAGAATAGAGGGTTACGACATGCAAGGAGACAGGGAATCAACACACTGTGGAGTGTCAATTTCCTAGCAAGTGCAGAGGCATATTGCAAGCCAATAAAAATCATAGCTCAGTGGTTCAATGGCTCCAGAAGCTGGCAGGACTGAGACCTCAACTTTACCAATAGACGTCCCATCAGTTTGAAAGAAACTTGTAGTAAGAGAAATATGGAGGCTGCCATTACTAGCTTTAGAATGCTAGTTTGCAGGCTGTCTCTGGCTTCAAAACTTATATGTGGGCAGGCATGAAGGTTAGAAAAACAACTACTGATTTGCATGGTTGCTCCAGGTCATTGCCTCATAAAGTACTGAAGCATATTGGCCAAGTAACTAGTTTTCTCAGAAGTGAGAAATGGCAGCCTTTCTATCCTCTTACCAGTGGCGTAACAACCGGGGGGCGGGGCGCTTGCCCCGGGCCCAGGCAGGACTGAGAGGGGGGGGGGCGGAAAAAAATTTCTGCCCCGGGCGCCCATAACTCTGGTTACGCCACTGCCTCTTACTACAGTTTTAACACATCCAGTGGGTGATGGATCTTACCACCAACTAGCTGACTGGCTAAAAGTGCCTTTGAGTGGATTGATGAAGCTGATGATATTTATTAATAAAGTTTAATCATGTCATATATGGGACTTCAATGTGCCAGACAAAGCCAAAAATATTACAAATGTATTCATCTCTATTACACTAAATGTTAAAAACAACATATGGTATATCGCAGTTACAGTATATATCGTATATATTATTGACTAATATTTACATTTGTTTGATGATCTGAAACAATAAAGTGTGACAAACGTGCAAAACAATGAAAAATCAGGAAGGGGGCCAACACTTTTTTACACAACCGTATATTGCGTGGTCATCAGATGTAAATGTATCTATAAACAGTGCTGAAATATACCTGCCTGATTTTTAATTATAATTTTTAACAGTTTTTGTACAACAAATTATACATTTTGAATATATTTGGCTTTGTCTGGCACCTTAAAAAGGTCCCATACATGAGATGCCTGTACTTGTATGGGTGAGGTGCCTTGATATAGATATTTATGAATCAAAAGCTTTGATGATATTGCAATGGTAAAAGCAAAATAAAAGATGCTAGAGCTTCTTTTGCCATTCAGGTGGTGGAGCGGACTCCTTGGATTGCCAACAGCTCTACAGCGGTCAAGGAGGTGTAATCATTACTGTCAGCTCTGCTGGATGGAGAATAAGCTTCCCAAAGGTGCGTGTACCCTTCGGCACGTTGACATTTCTATAAGACAGTAATTAAATTTGGAAAATTTTATTAAAGATGAACTCCGGGCAGATCTAAAATCCAAAATGTGGATTAAAAAAAAAAAATCATTAAAGGAGAACTATGGGGTCAGGGCTTTTCCCCATAGTTCTCCTTAGGGTAACGGGAGGACACAAACTAGCGTCCTCCTGTTACCCTAAGCTCAGTATACTGCGAGCTGCAGCTCGCGGTATACTGAGACGCCGCACCCGGAGCGGATCCCGACATCAATGTCGAGATCCGCCCTGCTGCGTGAGTGACAGCTGGCTCTGCCTATCTAGAGGCAGAGCCAGCTGTACCCGCCCCCTCCCCCGTCCGTTCCGCCAGTCAGCGCTGGTGGATCGGAGCGGGGAATCCAGCCCCTCCCCTGTCACGGCAGAGAGCCGTGACAGGATCGAGAGGTGAGCGAACGCCGGTATGTGTTCGCTCACCTCCCGATCTACTGAGCCGACCTGTGACAGTCTCATTGTCACAGGTCGGCTAGAACTATGAGGTGAGTGAAAAGCACTCACCTCATAGTTCTCCTTTAACTGCATTTTTGTAAATGCAAGTAGCGTAAGTACCTGAATATGTCTTGGTATCAGCCTCTTACAATTCCTGTACAGAATGGGAAAGAGAAGGAAAGGACTGGGAGCCAATTAGGGGTGCGGAATGCAAAATGTGCTAAAAAGGAACCAAGAAGGAAAAGAGCAGAGAGGTGACCTTATCACTCTGCTGCTGCTCCATTACACTCCAGTCAATAGGCCGGGAGTGAGGATAAAAATTGTGTCACTGTGTGGTAGGGCTGTGTAAATCTCAGGATTGGGTAGAAAGAAATAAAATACTTGGTTTTCAGGTAAAACAGCTCTTGTATACATATTTAATTTATTTAGCCGTTTTCCTGGATTTCAGCTTTTTTCCTTTCCTAGTATTAAGATTTAGTCTTGCAAAACATTATATATACAGTAGGTGTATATCTATATGGATATTTGTCTATATATATATAAGAGAGAAGGAGTGAGAGAAGGAGTGAGAGAAGGAGTGAGAGAAGGAGTGAGAGAAGGAGTGAGAGAAAGTGAGAAGTAGAGAGAGAAGTGAAAGCAAGATGGGAGATTGAGAGGGAGAGAGAGAGTTCTGCCTGACTTGAATGATGCCTGCTTCACCCACTTCCTTCCCAGGTCTTCCTTGACCCTCCCACCAGCCTGGTTGGACAGTGAAAGGAGAAGCAGCACAGTGATCTCTGTCACTTTGCTTTCTCCTCCTATCAGCATGCTTCTTGTCCGCACATGTACTGCTTCTTCCTCTCACATTCCAACACTGCTGTACTTCCAAAGGCTGATTACAGTTCAGATTCAGCTACGTACACTGCTCGCATTTAAAAACTATATTTACTGATGTATACATTATTACAGAGCAGCATTCATTAGTATCTTTTATATCTGCCCGTAGTTCAGCTTCAAAAACATTGAAATGACTTCTGAAATAACATTAACCTGTCAAAGCTTATATTAGATTTTTGTGATTGGGTTTACATCTGCGTGTCATTTGTTTGCAGTGTGAATACACAGAGCACAGGGTGACTTTCCATTGCTGGAGTTTTATTAATCTAGCTGAAAAGCATTTTGAACTGAACAGATGTTGAACTTGACCGGTGCACTTTAGGTGTCAGCATATGAGCTAATGCCCAGTGACACTCTTAATAGTAATGAGCATACCTTGTACAGCAGGAAGGTCCCGGGTATGATGGCACAAAACAGCAACAGTATGCCCTCAGCTGTGATTATTCTGTTCTTTGTAGCCTCTCCGACATTAAAAAAGAGGTAGACTGGAGAATCTGCAATGTAGAGGGTATCAGCTTAAAGACAACACAAGACACAAATTATATTTCACTTTAAGGACGATGTTGAGGCGAATCAACCACTTGGTTCTTCTATCTCTCTGAGACCCCAATGGTGAGGTTTTGAAGATACAGTAAATCCCAACATATGGTCTACAAATTATCAAAACAGACCAGAAGTAAACCCTTGTTTTATCACATACCCTTTCTACTGAAGTATATCAAGGGAAGGCTGAAAACAGATGAGGAATGGCCCTTAGTAAGAGTTGAGTAAGGCCTTGTTCACACCAAATGCAGAGCAGATCCGGTCAGGTTTCTGCACACGCACGCTAGTCTTTTAGATGCGTTTTGGAAGCATTTTTGACGCGTTCCCGGGCTCTTTTTGTTTATTTTTAGTTTAAAATGGGCTTTCAGTAAGTTCCAGGCATTTGCATGCGTTTTTGATGCGTTTCAGAGCAGATCCAGAGCAGGTAAAATAGGGCCTGCTGCAGTTTTTTCTCCTGCTCTGGATCTGCTCTGCAACTGCACGCTGCAATGTGAACTGGAGCAAAAAATACCATTGGAATACATTAGACGCATTTTTGATCTGGTCTGCACCTGCTCTGCGCTTGGTGTGAACAAGCCTTAAAGGTTTAAGGAAGACAAGATGGACCATACCCTTGCAAAATTACTGCCAGAGAGGGCTGCATATCTAAAGAGAAGACAGAGGGATAAATGGGGTGAAGAGTTTCCATTGTATCTCACCGGAAAAGATTATTTGGCCATCCCATCTAGTGCTCACTCATACCACCATGGTAATTATATGTGTGTTATGAAGCAATTATACCAAGCGGGGTAGTGATCAAAAAATAAACAGAATTTATTAGGGACACTTCGTACACATGTGTTTGTTCCAAAATACAACTTACCAATTAATAAAATGACACTAAACTCAAGAGTTAATTCTTTAAAAATGCATTCAAGTATCTTAACTATTAACCTCCCTGGCGGTCTGATTATTCCGTATTTTAGCAACCCTAAGCGATACATTGTTTTTCATGAAAATATGTTGTTTTACATTGTAGGCCTGTGATTCTTAGTAAATCTTAGGAATAACTCACCTAAATCTGTCCAAACAAGAGTCCGATAGACATCCCGAGTATGATAAAGTTTGAAAAACTAAATCATAAATTATAATACAACAAATAATTAGAAAGAAATTACACAAAACAATAATATAATAATAATACATTTAATTAAATAATGTATTGAAACAAAAAAACACTGACATCTGTCCAAGCAAGGGTGCAATATTACTTCAGTAAACATCTCGGGTATGGTAAACTTTGAAAAACGGGACAGCACAAAGTCCAACGTTACAATGGGGACAATGGAACCTGGTCTCTTTTTGGATTTTTTTGCCGCTGTTGTCGCGCTTCGAACAACACACCACGCACAGCCTTGTAGGTGCTGACTTTCTCTCTGTTGGTGGGATGTAGTCCATGAAGTGATGACCAGTCAGGCGTTCTGGGTTGACAACGCCAACAGCACGACGTCCAGATCTACTCACTGATGGCGTTTGGTGGGTCAAAAAAGATTGGTTCTGAAATGTTCCAGATGAAGCCTGCATGCAGCACAGGCTTGTAACTTTGTTTTTTTAGCAGAACGTAGGCATTCCACAAGCATTGCTCAAGAAGATGCCTGAAGATCTTCTTATAATATTTCTTCTGCTGTTTCCGCATTGCTGGGCAGAAGGTCATGGCTTGGTCGGCTCTGTCGATACCTCCCATGGTGGTATTGTAGTCTATTACTACTTGCGGCTTCATGATGTCTCTCGCACCTTTCATGTGTACCATAGCAGTGGAGGCATTATGCGCAGTACTCATTAGGCACATATCTTTTTTGTCTCGCCATCGCAGTGCCATCATTTTGCCTTTCTGCCAGGCAACTATTTCTCCAGCCTCCAGCTTCTTCTTGCCAAACACTGGCGGCAGGTCACGTCGGTTAGCCATAACGGTTTCATAGGCATCCGTTTTGTGTTGCAAAAGGAACTCATACAGTTCTGGGGATGTGTAAAAGTTGTCCGTTGTTACACAATATCTCTGATTCAGCAATGGCTCCATGAGTGAGAGAACGGAAGATTTTGCCATTCCATAGCTACTGTATTTCGGGTCGAATTTGGTTCCTTTTCCAGTGTATATCACTGAGTTCCAAATATAGCCAGATGACGATTCGCATAGCATATAGGTTTTATAGGTCCAAATCGTGCTCTCTTGGATGCTATATATTGATTCCAGCTGAGCCTTCCCTTGTAGGCCATTAGACTTTCATCTATGGTGAGGTCTCTTTCTGGCACATAGGTTTGTTGGAAATTCCTCACAATCATCTGGGATACCTTACACATTGGTTTTCAGTTTTGGGGCGGGATGAGTGGCTCCGTCGAATTCCTCATTGTCCGCAAAGTGTAAAAACTACATGATGAGGGTAAACCTATACTCCGACATGACCGTGCCAAAGAATGGTGTGGCAAGTATTTTATTGGTTGTCCAATACCACTTCTGCAGAGGTTTCCCACCACTCCCTGAAGAATTATTAGGCCCAGAAACTTCCAGATGTCATCTCTGGTCACTGGTTCCCACTTTCTGTTTCGGGAAAACTTCCGCTGCAGAGTAGCTGATTGTTGCTCATTGTACCGGTTGGTCTCGGTAACAATTTCATCAATAACCTCATTGGTCAGAAATAATTTTAGGTAGGCCAAGGGGTTGTCATGTTCCACATCTACCTTCCTACCAGATGCTCCAGTAAATGGGAATCTTGGGGGCGCTGCGTGATCTGTACCACAATCAATAGGGCACAAAGTTCGCACATCACTAAGCTCGGTCGCAGAATCCACGCTTTTGTCACTTTCAGTGTCTGACGACGAACTTCCCCACGCATGGCTGTCGCTCAATTCAATAAGTGATTCCACATCACTATCGCTATTTTCAAGCTGCTCAAAAACCGCTTTTGACCTCAGCGGACGCTTGTTTGATACCATGGACGCTCTCAAGTTTTCCAGGCAAATAGAATAGTAAAAGTGCAGGCAGAACACTGGTAATATCTCTAGGGACAAAGCTGAGGTGATAGAATTTGTTACAGTAACGTAATAGCACTGTTTTCAATGTATTACAATGTATTCTGTATGTATTGGGTGCTTTTACATGTGAATTTCCCGCCGGATCCGCCTCCCTACGACGCTGACGCTAGCGTACGCTGGAGACAGACGCCAGCATCGGGCGAAGAAGACGCTGCGGGGATCGTGGAACGAGGTGAGTGTGAATTCAGGGTATTCCCGAGTGTGGCTCAGGGTTACTGCTCCTGGTCAGGAAATGTAACCTCGAGCCACGCTCAGGAATACCGCCAGGGAGGTTAACAGAAATGTATCTTCTTTGTGTATCACTCGGCTGTAGATCCTCCAATCATCTCTGAATTGGTGCTGACACTGTCCTTCCTTCTGGAGGGTAGCTACTAATGTTCTCCATGGCCCCTGTGTGTGTTGTATTTTAGCCACGGCTCCAAGCTCACTCCCATGAAGGACTACAATCTAGATACAAATTAGTAAACTAAATGTAGGATTAAAGTCTGTCTTGGGAGCGAGCTGTGTAGATCTGAGGACTGGATAGACAATAATACCCCTAAAACAACTCCCTTATAATTATTTCATCTGTGTATTTAGCTGTTTGACTGGAGTTCAGGTTTTAAAAAAAAAAAAAAAAAAGAGGAAGTGAGGGCCAAGTTCAGGGCAAAGTTAGTTCGCTCAGCACCACACCTTATGTGTCTTGTTTTGGACTCACCTTTCACTCTCAGGTAGGTTCCACAGGAACCGTAGGTCATATTATTCACAGTCAACTGGCACTTATATAAGCCATTCTGATTCTTGCGTACGTTCTTGATCTGCAGATCCTTTGTACGGTCCATTAAGGAACTTACGTTTGTATACAGCCAAGTGTTATTTTCTGATCTGTCCACTACTTTCTGGTACAGAAACCAGGTGATCTCCACCTTCTCTTCAGGTTCGCTCATAAAGTTACATACAATTGTTGTATCATCGCCTGGATTGACAGTGATGGAGGTTGGTACTGACAGCATCTCCAAACCATGAGATGGAATCACTGGGAAAGAAAAACAGCCATAGATCAGCATCAAAAGGTTCTTAGAAGAGGCATGTCAAAATGGGTTTTCTGAGCCACGGGTGGCCATCACACTGCTTCTTTGTGGTCCTTAGCTTGTTGATAATACATGTTCTTATGCTAGTAAAATTCACATGTCCCTACATCATTTTCAAGTACGTTTCGTACATCTATCTATATCTATACTAATACACATACAGTATACCCACACAAAAGAAAGGTGATATCCAGTAGGTCTTATTGGACATGACAAGAGCAATGAAGAGAAAGCCAATGCGTTTTCTGGGGCCTGAAAGAGTTGCATGGGTCGCCAGTCAAGCTGCCCAGCAACCTATACTAGCACAACTTTTATTTTTTCATTTTGCAATCTGTTGTCCAGTTTTCTACTCAATTATTTTCTACTCTACTGCCAGCATCCAAGCCTTAATGAAGGAAAGTTTTAAGCCACCAAAACAGGTTGGCTCTCCTATGACCTTTTGTTCTTTAAAGCCTAACAGACGCACATTAGACCTGTGGAGCTCTCATCCTATCTACACTATTTAAACAAGTCCAGGGATCCCCAAAAGATAGCCTCAGTTGACATGGGGCTACCTCACAAATGTGAATTTCAAGCCTTACCCTTTATACCTTTGGGTCCAGCTCTCTATCAACATGTCTGTGATATCAGCATTCTATCCAAGATAAACATCTTGGCGCTTCACACAGAATTAATAATGCAGCAAAGGTTATTGTAGGCACTCAAGGGCTTCCATAGGAGGATGATATAGTAACTTTAGAAAGGGTTGTGACTCGCAAAAACATCAGTGCAGTACAGGTTGTATATACGTTTAATCCTTGTTTTCTATGGAAGCCGTTTACATGCTAACCTTTTACTCTATCTATCTATCTATTTATATAATGTATATACAGGTATATCCAGGCTACGAACAAGATAGGGACTGTATCTTTGTTGTTAAGTTGAATTTGTATGCAAGTTGGAAGAGGTAAAACAAATTTTTTGGAAAGCATAGGGAAGGGTTTACCCGCTGTAAAGTTTGTTTTGCTGTATGTGCCCCTGTTCAGAAAACTTCACCTCACTTTCTTTCCCTGTGACAATTGGATATGGACAATTTTGGTTAGTCGTGGAAACAAGGATTGGTTATAAATCTTCAGTGGAGACACCTTTTTCCAATGATCACTCTTACAGGAGTGAATTTCCCTTCCTAGGGGTAGATTTCCTTTCACTTCCTGTTGTCTTAAGGACAGGAAGTGAGATTAAATCTTTCTAATGAGGAGACAGACAGCAGTAAAAACCTCACAGCAACCCGGAAGAAGAGGTGGGCACCCCTCATCTGCATGTCTAACAAGAGCCAACTTCCTGTAATGTACATACAGTACTACAAACCAGACCCAAAAAGGGGGGCACTCCTCGTCAGCACAAGCGTGGTAGCATTCCAACTACCCCTAATAGCCTCCGTTTGTAAGTAGGAGTTACGGGGGGGCGGCGTTGCTGTTTTGCCTAGGGCAGCAGCATTTGTAAATACACCGCTGTATACACACACACACTAAATTCCTAAGCTGGTATTCCTAGCATGCCTGCAGGCAACAAGATTCAGACTTGACTTTAGGCATAATTATTGTTTTGTCTAATTTAACATCTACTTATTGTAATTAAAGAACTGGCACGGCAGGTTGAGCAAGCTAGACTAGTCCCCTCTGGACATAAGGTATATATATTGTAACAAGGACACTCGACTGTAGTCAGGAAATTCAGGTAAAACACAGCTTTATTAAAGGGCAAACACAAAAGGTCTGTTTCCATCAACAGGGTAGACCTCCCCTGTTACACAAGAAGAGCCAACATTCTCATAATCAGCTTTTCTTCTAACAATCCACTTATCTTCAGGATATACTGTACAGTCCTTAGTAGCTTTCCTCAGCTTTCTCAGCACACCTCCATGTGATACTCACACTGCTCTACCAGCAGTGTGTCCAACAGGTCCTAGGATCACCGACCTTTCCAACCTCTCCCAGCCTCCCCTGGCTGTTCCATGTGCGTCCAGCACGCACACAAGTCTGCTGGTGTCCATGTGCCTCCTGCACACACACAACTCCAGCACAACTCTCTCACACTGAGCTCTGGGCTGGCTTCTTAAGGAGGCTGCTCTCAGCCACCTGATCAGCCCAGGCTGATCATTAGCAACACCTGGGCCCAGGACTGGAGACTCCTCCCACCCAGAGCTCTAAGAAATCTCCAGAGCTTCAGATCCCAGCTACAATTCTGAAAACCTGGAGGAATCTAAAAGGCCAGGTTCTTCCTTATAAAATTATTTACTTTCTGGAACCTATCAGCCTATTTGGCTAGGTGGAGAGATCCGTGACAGCAGGAGAACCAGCATAGCATGCACTGCACCATAGAAGGACGTCACCAGACTCCTCCCCCCTTCCTTTCGTTAGCCTATGGAGCCACTCGGGGAAGGGGGGAGGAGTCAGGTGACGTCATGGACATCCCGGAAGACCCGGAAGCCGGCGGAGAGGTGAGTTAACGATCAAAAAAAATGTAATCGATAAAAAAAATTAACGATTAATCGAGGAATTAAGCGTTAATTTCCGCAGCCCTACATTAAAGAAAAAAGAAGAAATCTTCCAAATGAAGATTTAGTAAATTGGAATCTCTGATGACTGAACCAAATGACGATTTATTAGTTATAAACAGAAAGCTGGTTGAATGATGGCCATGATTTAATTGTAAATTCACAAAGTTATAATGTGCTCAGAAAGAATAGAAAAGAAAAAGGTCATAGGATATGAAAAGGCCCAGCAATGAATTAAGATGTCCCTTAAGACGGTGACAGCGTGGGATCTATACAGGTAAATATACGCGGTTATGGTAATAATTCTATTGTACTTATTGGAGTTTGTTATAAGACACTGCCGCAGTTCAAATGCTGCTACAAAATTGCAAAGGCACCAAGAAGAAAGGCAGTCAACAGTGACCAACAGTATAGTAAGATTTGAGTTGGCATTCAAAACGTGTTAGACAAGGGAGTTCTATAGACTCTAGATACAAACAAACTATGAATGCGAACGAGGAACTTTAGGAAAGCAAAGTTCAAACAATTCAAAGAAGCATTTGTCTAGACTGGTAATGTGTATTATTAAATAAGCAAACTGAATGGGTATTAAATATATACTTTAGACAAATACCGCAAGAAGAACAAATCCTTTGGGAACAAAACCTCTAGGAATAAAAGAAAACCAAAAACAGCAGAACAGAAACATTTTGGATACGATAAGGCAGAAATGAAAATCATTTAAATAACTAAAATAATTTTTTTTATTCATTAAATAAAATGAATTGCAATACACACTTAACAAAAAAAAATCAACAGGAAAACAGGTTTCCAATTATATAAAACTCCCCACCCCACATTTCATAAAGACTGTAGCTCCTTTCAGACTGTATCTGTCTACCCTGTATTGGCACTTTTGATCCATTAAAGTATTCTATGAGCAAGTAAGTATTTGGCATTTTGCACAGTAGAGTAGGGAATGGCCAAAGAGTTAATTTGGCCAGTTGGCTTGCTTCAACATGTACAAGAAGTCCACATACATCCAACTTACATACGACTCCTACTTACAAACGTAGGCTATTACTGTACAGCAGGGGTAGTTGTAATGCTATCGCGCTCGTGCCAACGAGGAGTGCCCGCCTTTTTGGTTCTGGTTTGTAGTACTGTACGTACATTACAGGAAGTTGGCTCTTGTAAGACGTGCAGACGAGGGATGTCCACCTCTTCTTCTGGGTCACTGTGAGGGTTTTACTGCGGTCTGTATCCTCATTAGAAAGATTTAATCTCACTACCTGTCCTTGGGACAACAGGAAGTCAGAGGAAATCTAACCCTAGGAAGGGAAATTCACTCCTGTTAGAGTTATCATGGGAAAAAGATGTCTCCACGGAAGCTTTATCAACAATCCGTGTTTCCACGACAACCCACAATTTTCAAAATCCAATTGTCACATGGACAGAAAGTAAGGCGAAATCTTGTGAACAGGGGCACACACAGCAGAACAAAACTACATGGGGTAAACCCTTTTCTCTGCTATCCAAAGCAAAACTATTTTGGCTGGAGTTACACTTAAAAAATTTACCTGTTCCAACTTACATACAAATTCAACTTAACAACAAACCTAGAGTCCCTATCTTGTTTGTAACCCGAGGACTGCCTGCATTGCAATATATGCGAACCATTTGCTAGACATATGTAGGTGTGTATAGCAGTGTGCAGAGGGTTAATCCATAATTTGCATAGTATTAAACTGATATATACTTTTTGTTTTTAGTATTAGTAGACTGGAAAATCTCAACCATCAGTCATCTGAGTTTACTTTGCACCACCCATTGTCTCTTGGGATTTAGAGAATGATGAACTCTATTCCCAGGTGTTTCCTGTTCCTCTTTCTGTGATAATCTACCCACAGAGAGACAATAAAGATAAAGTAGGACTCCAGTGAAAACCTTTTCTTTAGGTACATAAAAGAGTGAGGCCGTGTGCTCTTTTTGATGTGGAAAATACCACATTATGGCCACTAGATGGAGCTGAGGCCCATAGGAAATAAGTATATATTGCCTGTGATCTTCAGCTCCATCTAGTGGCCATACTGCAGTATTTTTCTCATTCACTCTACTCTTCAGGAACGAATAACAATTGACCTAGTGAGCAAATAGCCTAATAACACTCGATTTTTTTTAACAGTTGCACAAAATAAATGTTCATGCAGCTTTGCAGGAAGAATAGCCCTGCTGATTTTTTTAAAATATACACCTCTAACTATTGTGTCTTTGTAATATGTAGAAAGAAACACTATTTTTAGGGATGCACCGATACTCGTACTAGCCCAAATGATCCGGTGCCTAGCTCAATACCCAAATTTCCGGTATCAGGAAGCCAGGCAGCGAGTCATTACATGCTGCCCGTCTTCCTGATTGGCCGGGAAGCTG